TATGACTGGTAAAAAAAATATCTCCTTTGGTTTCTGTACATTATTTCATTTTACTGTTGGAAAGTAATGAAATAAATAAACATTGGATTTAAACTTTACTACAGGATATGAAATAGCAAAGAAAAAATTACTTAGGTGACTCATGAAGTGAAGCCTGAAAAACTACCCACAATAAATTAGTTGAATAGCCCAATTTCACTTGCTCAAGAGCCATAGATTACAGGGAACCAATTTTCTCTCTTCCCATATCTCCCCCCTTTCATCTCCACACCCCATCCAAACTTCTCCATTACTTTACCCTAAGCAAAATGAGTTATGGATACATTTAAAAGAATACTTCATTGATCTGCCCTGAGTTCATTAATCATTCACAGAGTTGTATCCCAAGTGGATGTGAGACAAAACAAGTTCTCTGCCAACAGTAATCCTTTTCAGGTTCTCATTCTCTAGAGATTACATCTCCTCTTTCCTTTCTTTATTGCAGTGCATCTAGTGCCTGGGAAACTAATCGGCAGATATTCAGGTTTCACTGTGTACTAAATGAGTTACCAAAATTACTTGAAGTATCACAACGTGCAATGTGTTGTTGAAGGGAAATCAACGAGGAAATTAAATGCTTTTGTTGTAATTGGGACAGGACAAAACTGAGAGCAAGTTCATAGATTCTGGACCTCAAGGGTAGAATGAGGTGAGGGTCCTGTAGCTCAGAGGGGTCCAAGGAATCTCTAAGCCCTTATTCAGTAATTACAGAGAAGACCTCTAGAGGTTCAGCTTGTTAGGTGGCTATTTGATGATGACAAATCACCAGGAGAGCTTTCAGAAGTGCTCTTAGTCAATATGATAACCAGAACACTGGACTTGGAGTCAGAAAGATCTGCGTTTAAACTCCACCTCGGACGTTTTCTAGCTAGTTGACCCCGGGCATATAATTTTCTCTTGGTGGAGAAAATGTCAGCTATGCAGATTAAACTTAAAAGTGTGCAGGGATCCCCCCTCTCCCTCCCCAGGGCTGGTTGTTAAATATTTACCAGCACATTCCTGTATACACACACACAAACACTACGCACATATGTATACACACGCTCATGCTTACATTACACTTTAAGGACCTATGATCTCATCCAAGGAGGTATTCCCTCCAAAAGGAAAAAAAATCACAACTCATCCATCCTCATCCTGTGCACTTCTCCTAAATTACACAAGAGGTCTAATTACATAAAAGGTCTTCCTCTAGATTTCCTGACATTGCTTGCATACCAGCGGAGCACAGCTATGCCTTACTCTTCATACGTGACTAACCTACTTCCTTTTCCAGACATCTCTCTCTCTCTCTCAATTTTTCATTGCTAATACAAATCACAAATAATGGGCAGGTTTTTGCAGACAGTATTTTACAATAGATCACATAATTATAGTCACACAACTTCCTGGAAGATACAGAGAATAAAGTATTCTACTGTATCTTTTGCTTATTGTTGTTGATGATTGTTGACTCTAAAAAGCATCTGATTTGGTAGGGCTAATGCTGCTTTAGAGGTTCTCCTCCACATATATGTATGTATGTATATAGGTATATACACACTATGTGCACATATGTATACACACATACATATACACATGCATATATACACATATGTATATACACACAATCTCCCACATATATAAAATCATACGAGAGTGCTTTAAAGATGTAAAAAATGAGAAAACTTTGTTCAATGGCTGTCACATTATCAAGCAAGGAATAAAACATGGAGACATATTGGTACAGGCCATTGTCATAGAGAATGTCCACCACGAAGGCCAAATCAAAGAGGGACCCCCCCTCCCCAAACACATACATTCATAATAGAGATCTCTCTCTCTCTCTCTCTCTATATATATATATACACACACACACATATATGTGTGTGTATATAATTATATACATGAACATGCACATGCACAAGCACACATACCCACACACACACATATAAATATATATATATACATACATATATATACATATGTAATATGTTTATATTGCAGTTAGCCTTGAAAGTTAGCAGCAGGAGCAATAGGGAATTGAGGATCTCAGTTTAAGCAGATATGAAGGGCAAGGAAAATATTTCAGTGACCTCCACCATGTGCTTCAGCCAGAACTAAGTCGTAACTTTGCATAGCTGAGGCACATCTAATGGGAAGAGAGCAGTTTTCCCATGGTGGATAGGCCTGGAGAGCTATATGATAGAGATGAGGACTGATGGGTGTGAAAAGTCTTCTGGGAAAATGGAGTTTTAAAAAGAAGTTTTCCTGGGGTGACTGGGAACTCAGGACTTCTGGGACAAATGAAGAGAAGAAAGATTAAGTATTGGTACAGATAACGGCCTGTAAGAAGAAAATTCAGATTAAGATCCAGAAGAGGAAAATCACCCTCTTGGGGATCCAAAAAGTCTTCCAAGATGACCATTACCTAAGAGCGAAGTCTGCCTGAACATGGCTTGAAGAGTGAAACCATAGACTATGCCTTTATTTCCAAGTATTCTGGCTCCAGATACCCTGAGGGGATATAGGACACCCTAAAATACAAGGCACTTGTTGATGAAATAGTGCTACTCAGCTCAGACCATCCACAGACCCAAACTGGAACTGTAGATTAATGGGCTTGTGGATATAAATTCCCTCACAAGATGAATGGAAACTGGGAGTATAAATGTTGACAATTGATAACTGATAATTTTGCATGAAACCTCAACAGACAATACTACATGCCATGTTTCCACGTTTGTTTGATCTACTGCATGCAGCTATAATTTTGATCTTATAGACTGTACCTGCTTGTGGTGTATACATTTGTAATAATTACTAGGACTATACTATATGAAAATTAGTGCATGTTTAATGTTAAATTCCTACAGCCATTTATGTGTACCTGATGCATTTGTAGGGAGTGCAGGCTTTTTTTTTTCTTTTTAACCAGAGTGTGAAGAGAGGATGTAAATCCAATGTACGGACACATACTCAGTGAGAAGAGGATTCTTCTTCCTTTGGAGCTGTGGGCTACAGAGATGGGCCTGATTGGACTGGTGTAGAATGACATATTCCACAGAGCACAGAGCTGTGTGACCATGGCATAGACCAATTGAAAGTTGGAAGTTTAAAAGGAGGTTTTTTTTCCCCCAGCTGGCTATCTTAGAAACCAGAAACCCGAGTGAGCCAAATCGTAAACTTTCATGTTGGTCTCAGACAGGATCTCTGGGGAGCAGAGGAGAAAGAGAAGATCTCCTGATGCAGTCAAGACCTTGAGAAGAGGCCTGCAAGATTGCTAGGGCAGTATCCAGTCCTTTAGGCAATCTGAAGCAGGTTAAATGACAGTTGTCGATAGCAAAAAGACAAGTAGAAGCGGTGAATATAGAGGTTGGTAGTAGTTTCCAAAGCTGGAAAGGCCAGTTCCAAGGCTGCTTGTACTGAAGGTGTAAGCAGTGTTTCTCACATTATAATGTAAATCTTGGAGGAGATTATTTCCCAAATAATCTGGGGAGGGACCAAAAAAGAGTACTGTACTCACTCAGGAATGTGCATTTTTACAATTATTGTGTTATTTTTACAATTCTTGTCCATCATACTTAGATATTTTACAGTGTTAAGGTATGTTCATGCATGCTTTATTAGTAAAGAAGAAACTAAATTTAGAGGATCGTAGAAGTTTCTAGAAAACTGAATGGGGACAAGAGTCAGCTGAGATAGATGGTAGTAATCCTTCGTTCCCCACTGGAGCCCTAATCTACGTGGATCCAGAGTTAAGTGGCGTATGTTACATATATATTCATAAAATACAGGTTTGTTTCACCAATA